ATTTGGTGAAATCTGCTAAAAAGTTGTTTTATTGGGGCAGTTAGATTTTTTGGGGGATTTTAATTATTTGGAACTGATGAATTTTGATTGTAACAAAGTTAATTGGAATTTTAATTTGCTTAAAATTTACAGTATTTCTGAAGTGCCTAGAGATGACATTTGTTGTGTCTTGGTGCTATATAAATACAATTTTATTTGAGATGAGCATATTTCTGTCAAAAGCGGCAACCTCCAAAAGCAGCTACTGCTATCTTCAACATGTAATTTTTTTTTTCATCAAGTTTTACATCCCCTAAGCACATTAGTTCTTTTCCAATGAGACAGAGACACCTAGTTTGTTAGGGAGGCCATTTTTAACTCAGATTTTGAGTTGCTCTCTAGTTTTATAGGGGCTGCACGTTGGTTAGGATTGTAACCTCACAGAAAGAAGCTTCCTGGTTTGAATCTATGCCTTTTTTCTCAGATGTGTGGGACCTCTTGGGGTTCTCTGTCTTATTCCAACTTTCTAAAAAACACATGAGGTTAACTTGTGATTTTGAATTAACGCAAGAAGTGAGTGTGAGAAACACATGTCTGTTTCTCTCTGTGTTGGCATTCGCTAGCGATCTGGCTGTGCCCCACCTTTCACTTGATACGGCAGAATTCTTTTTCAGATTTTGACACAATAAAAGGAAAACCACTCACTATCAATGACCCTAGACAAAGTATTCTTAAAGTAGAAAAGACAGACCACACCATCAGAGAGAAATGCATTCTTTATTCAATAAGTATATGTGTAAGATGGTAATGACAGGCTTGTCTGATCTATGGCAGCTCTTGTGAAGCAGAGTAGCAGCCATCAAGAAAGTAGAAGGGTTAAGGAGAGGCATAAGAACAAATACAGAACGGAAGGCCCTGAATATGAGAACTAACAGAGGTGGCGTATGCAGGATGGGCACAACTGCAGCTAAAAACATTTTGACCCTGAATTATTAGTTAATCAGGACTACTAATGCCATCTGATCCTTGTCCTCAAAATTTGACCTAAAACCTAAATAAAGAAGTATGATGAGAGGTTCTTTTCATTTTTGAAGACAACTATAAATACCTGTTGGATGCAACATTGTGGACTGTTGTTTGAAAAATTACACTGATTTTATTTGAGTGACTGCAAGCTTTAAGAGCTTAGATGCTGAAGTCGTTGCCTCTATGGCTGGTATGGGGGCATAAAAGTAATTAAAAACTGCATGTGTTGGACATTTACACACAAATCAAAATATTTATCTCATGTACAAAAGTAATTTGAATAGTGGGCAAGTGAGCGGATGTGTGAGTGAGCTTCTGCATCAGATTTGGAGTCCTCTTCTTTAGCTTATCTATGCTCTCTTATTGTCAGAATGCTGCTGCAGATCGCCTCATATCATTAATCAATTATTCACCAGTAGCCTGTTAATGTTTAATGAGTGAGGCTGCTGCGGTCAATTACTAATGAATTGTGGTCATGGTGAGAAAGCTCAGAGGAGAGGCCAAATCACATATGATACACAGAATGCATGTGTGTGTACATGTGTGGACATGTAAAATATACCGTTAAAGAGACGTGGAGGTGTCTGCCTTTTTATGTGTTGTGTGTGTATATCAATAACAAAGTCATGCAAATTGGGACTCACCCATATTTTTGCACAGTTTTACCATTTTTCTTTGCATTTTCCAAAATAACTTTCTATTAATGATATTCCTAATCTATCGTTTTCAAAGTGTGAAATGATTTTGTTCATTATAATCTGTTTTATCACTGAAAATAAAAAAAAATATCACAAACAAAAATAGTATGACATCACATATATTTAAAAAAATATTTTTTAGATAAAGTTTTGGTGTAAAACAGTTGACAGAAGGTTTTTGAGGTGCGTCATTGGTTAATTATAAACAATTCTGTTTGTGTGTGTGTTTGCGTGGGAATTGTGAGCAGACGAATAAGTGACAGGTCAATGCTTGTCCTGTGAAGTGTGTGTGGCCTGCAGTCTGTTGGTCATGCCTCTGTAACCAGGATAATTAGAGACCAACCCCCTGTTAAGCGCTATAAACAGCTAAAAACACAACACCAGCTCAAACAAAGACATTATTGTGGGATCATATAAAATTCTTTGAGGACAAGTTGCATATGCAAATTTTATTTCAAAAGGTCAGCTTCATGTTCTCCGAATCCCAACTTTAAAAAATGTGACATGATTTGTGAGAAAAATAATTCATGAATGACATATTGATGTCAAAAGGCAAGTATTACATTGTCCTATAATAATCTTTTTTACCATCTTGTGACTAACATCAGCCTATCTTGAATTTGATCTTAATTTAATCACTATTAAGATTAAAGTTAGAAATATTAATTATTTCAAGGACTCTTTATTAAGAGTGTTCATTAGATTTTTGCTTGTTCATAAAAAAATCGACACATCTGTGGAAGGTGAGATATTTTGGTTGTTTACTCGTTCAACATGTTTTTTCTCTTATGAAGAAGTGGTACACATTGTGAGTCCTATTACCACACTTCTTATCAATAACATCACTCTGACAAACTAAGTTTATACAGTCCAGATAAGTTGCAGAAACATGCATTTACATTTTATTTTTTAGAGACATCGTAAACATAGGTTAAAAATTGATGTCATAACTAAATGGAAACTCGATAATGCAATGTGATGCATGTCCAGCCTTTATGATCTGCGAGCTCGACATAGGTCAGATTCAGCAGCCTGAAAATGAGCAAGACTCAAAAGTAAATATTTCCACAGCAGACTTTACCCACTGTAGCAGTAAAGTTCACAGCTTGGTTAGCTGCTCCCCCGAGACTTCAGTTTTCCAATCTGGGGTTGATCTTATGAAAAACCCAAACTCACAAAGAAAAAAAGATATTTTAGTTTCTGCTTAGTGTGAATTTGGGTTCTCAGGATTCACTCTTAATTTTCACCGAACCATGTCTTAAAATCTGTTTTTAAAGTCCAGTCCTATGTGAGAAGGAAAGAGCTGTGAAAATGTGTCAAAACTAAGTAATTGTTCGGTTGCTCCAGTGACCAAACAGAACCAGTTTTCACTAGCCCTGTTGTCTGAGCAATTGTCGGCACACTTATAAGCACACTCACTCCTCTGTTTGAAACTCCATCTATCACAAGGCCAAGACAGGACAGAAGACCATGGGAAATGAAGCATGCCTAATTCTATTAGCACGAGAACACAAACAATCTGTGGGGAATCAAAGAAAGAGGAAGCATGATCCCAGCGGACCCTTTTCGTGCAGCAGGAGCTGCAACAGTTCACCATCACAAAGGCAAAATGTTAAATTCCTACACACGCACACACACACACAAACACACACACAAAGAAACACAGAGTCTCATGAGCTTAAGTGGTTTCATATTGTCAGGATTTCTATATTTGCCATCTATTATACTAATACTGTATGTTTAACACTCAAATGATCTTTTCCTTCTTCCTTTCTTTCTGTATTTCTTGCTTTCTTACTTTATTTCTTTTTCTCCCTCTACTGTGCTGTCTGTGGGGAAAGGCACAAAGCTCTCTCGCTGAGCAACCCTTATGGGACAAAGCTGGCTTTCTAGGCTTTTTGCATATATGCATGCCATGCAGACAATGAGGCCCTTATTAGAGTAGCCACCATCTCTGCTGGAACAGCAGGGATCAGGGATGAAGTCCGAGAAAACTGTGATTGACACTGAGAACTAGTGCTTATGTTTGTGAGTTTCCCACCTCTTTCCCAGGCATGCATGTGTGTGTTACAGAGCTGTGAAGTGGATGCTCTTCTCATTCCTGAGGAAAGTTATCCATATCTTTGCTTGATTTTCTTCATGTTAGAGGCAACTCTTACACGGAGAGCATCCCCGGCACAAAATAACTTCTTGTCATAAGACATCTGCATATGAAAGAGACAAAACAACGTGTCGTGGCCTTTAGCTGCAATCAAAAAAACTGCTCAAAGCAAGCCCTCGGAAGATGTGTCGCTGTACACTTGACTAATTTTACAATACAGAAATCAGGCTTCAAGTCTGAGTGCCTCTGTGTTTGACTGTATGTGCGTGCAGTGTTGTGTGTGTGCAGCGTCGAGTAGAGAGAGAGAGAGAGGACGGTCTGTGACTCAATCATGCGTGAAGAGGATTTTCTGTTCAATAGGGGCTGCACACTTGCATACTTGCATTCTAATGAATCCATGTGCATAATCATACAAACAAGCGCTGACATGCAGATGTGTGTATGTGTGTGCCTTTACCTACAGTGGCACACAAAGATCACTGAGTCCCATTTTCCTGCTCTCGTGTTGAAAAAAAAAAAACACCTAACTTGTAAAAATCACACACACAAACACACTGTTTTGCCGGTGTGCTGCACAGCGAAGGATTTGGATGCAGACTACTCTTATATCCGCATTTTTCACATGTGTCTGAACAATGTGAGGCATGGGCAACATATTTGCCCATGCGAGTGGTACAGTTTTTCTTTGCCACTGACCTAAGAGAGTGTTATATTGTACTGAGACATGTGCGGTGCTTGGTTGAAGTAAAACCAAGACTCAGTAGGATTTGATTTGATTTTTGTTTGGAAGGACAAAGGGGTTGTGTGGATGTTTTTCTGCACCTCCACACACATGTAAAACAATCACCTGTGGGAGCATCCATCTCTCCACTCCTCTCTTTCTCACTACCTCAGTCTCTGTCTTCACTCACTAAAGCTGGAGTTGTTGTTCTGAGTGGTAAACATGTGCCAAGGGAGGTGAATGGCTAAGTTTTCTTTTTATCCAATAAAAATGTCTCCTTGCCAGATCGATTGTTGTTGCTAGGAGACTGAAGCATCCTTTGGCAAGGGGCTACAGCTCTACACGTCTGTTGTTTCCCTCCCAATCTCTCTCTCTCTCCCTGTCTCCCTCTCTCTCTCTCCCTCTCTCTCGTTCGTTCCCTCTTTCGTGCACGCGCGCTCACACACACTCACACACACACACACACACTACCAGCGGAGCTGGCGCGCTGAGCAGTGGCGTCCATCCTCTCCCTCAGTGCGACTCCTCCGAGGGATCAGGAGTAGACTAAGTCAAACTTCCAACAGCTTAAGATTTGTTCGCGACCTATGACGGACCGAAGTCACGAAGGTAGGGCCCCGTCTCTTAATCATGGGCAGTTTAGCCATATCCACAGATTAGGGCGACAGGGGTGCAGTGAAAAATTGACAGTCCATGAGCGTTCAAGTGCGCGTCAGCCAGTGCAATAGCTTTGAACTTTGCGCAGGATTTAAACACCCTGTTGTGCTGCAAATACGCAGTTCTTGTGGGATTTTTTTTTTTTAAATCAGGTGCAGGTGGGCGATCGTTGTAGAGAAAGATGTTGTGGGTGCTGATCTCTGCATGGGATTAATGATTAAGGAAAATATAGAAGGTGAGACAAAGAGTGTTGCAGTTGCTGCGCCGACAAGTTATATGGATTCACCGCACTGAGGCATGTGCATCGGCTTAAAGTGTCCTACAGGGAGACAGGGCTAGGAAGTGCATCTCTGGAAACCGGCGTACAGGTGGATCAGAGAAACATATCTGTTCGCTGTTTATCAGTGGTCTTACTCTACAGCTGTCTCTCAACAATCACCCCACACCTTGCGCCAGAGGAGAGAAGTGTGGACCGGCACTGTTGGTACAGCAGGCAAAGTGTTTCTCCCAATCAGATGCTACCTATTCTGTGCTGAGGTGAGACATATATGTATTAATGAGTAAGAAATTTGACGTTTTTCACAGACAAAGTGAGACACGAAACATGCCTTTGATTTAGTTATTGGATTAATCTGTGTCTTGTCTCCAACATGTAATCCACGTGTAATTCCTGTCATGGTTTTTTTTGTATTACTATTCCACTCATAACAACATACCTGCAGTGTAGATGTAGGTTTTTAATATTTAGGTTATCTTGAAGTGGTCCACCTTTAAAATTTTCATGTTTTTCCACATTGTTTTCCACATTTCTGCGCATGTTGTGCAGACCTCCTATGATGTTGATATGCCTAATCTTGCCCATGACGAAGTATACAGTTATGTGCTGGTCTGCCTGTGCCTTACTAAGTTAGTATATATTATCACCCTTTTCCTAACTGAAAATCTCTAAATTATACTGCAGTGGTGTAGAAAATAAATGATTTCTGCTCTATTTCACACATATGCTGATAGAAACTAATACGACAACTAGAATAACACCACATTCTATTTTCCTTGGATATCCTTAGTAAGATTTAAATTTTAAAAGCAGGATTAATCAGAATATTAACCAGTAATTTACATTTAAATAAATTATATCTGCATTGTTACCTTTATGTGCACTTTACATTTACTGAATGGGGGACTGGCAGCACTTGTAGAGTGAATTATTTAAAGAAACTGATACCTTGGGAGACATACAAATTATGACAGGGATAATTTCTTATCCAACGGTTGTCTAAGGAATACAAGAATATATGGCTGAAATATAACTATATATGTCAGTTTCTTTTTACCTTAATCAAAGGTGGAGTCAGTGTCCACATAAATATTTATGTTAGTTTATGAAAAAAAAAGCATTTCTGCTTTAAATGCTAAATGTTTGTGATATGCAGAATGCATGTCCATTTTCAACTTAACTCTTCTGCTTATTATGAAATGTACATTTTGTGTGTCAGTACGTGTCCCTGCACTGTACTGCTCTTCAGCGGAGGGTCATATAAGGTGCAGGAGAGGCCACGACCAGGAGTGTGCATTTGGTGGCCTTGACAAACCTTAAAGACATGGTTAAATGGTGGTGTATCTCTGTGTAACGGTGTTGTAGGACAACTCACATCTGCGTGAGTCAGTGGAAAATTACTGTTGTTGAATGAATATGGCCTTGAGTTTCAGCATTTTTTGTGTTGGTGAATGTGCTTACATGAGCTTGGGACTGTGAATCAGTGTGTGCGTGTGTTTTTGTTAATGTGTGCAGAGGTGGCCTTGTAGCTTTGACAGAGCTTCTCTTACTGGACTGTACGCAGCGCAAAATCCCACCATTTGCAACTCTAAAACAGTGCAAGGAGAACTGCATGTTGTAATACAGACTTCGATTTGATTGCATGTTTTCATTTTAAACCAGTGGAGTATATTGTTTGATATTTTTTTCCTCTGTGAAGTAAAACCACCTAACTGAAAGGGGTTTATTAAATCACATAACCCATGCTCTTGGACACACCCACGATGGTAGCAATAGGAATTTATCAAATGTATCTTTGGATTTCAGTCAGTGTTGGATTTAAGGTTGAACCTGTCTTAAAAACACAAAATATCAAAGAAATTTCTGATGCAGCCCCTACAGCATGAGCTCTTTTCTATATCTCTACAAAAACCAGCAGACTTCTGCATAACTGCTGAGCCAGAACTGTGTGAAACTATTACTACAGTCTATTCCAAAATGCAATTCTATTAAATTATTTTTTCATTGCCCCAAATGACAATAAAATATCATCTCAAGGCACTTCAACAATAAAGTCCAGTTCCATCCAATTGCATTACAATACATTCTAAAATCATCATAATCCATCCATCTATCCTTCTTATATACCCTCCAAGCTTCCAAGTCCATAACAGGGCCATAAAGAGACACACAAGATGGTCACATTCACTCCTTTATAGCAAAATTATGTTTTTTTTTATTTTCTTTATTAATCTACAAGGGCAAACGAAGATTAAATTCTAAAAAATATATATCAATTTAGCATTTCTACTGCTTTGTAGGAACATTCTCACATACAGTTTACTTACTAAAACATGTCACGATGACCGAGAGAAAGTAAAATCTAAAAAATACAAAAGCACTAATGCAATGAATTACCAGCTGTGTTTTTTTACATATCATTCAATGACAATCAATTTCAAAAGTTAAATGCAGCTCTAAATACATTTGAAGAACTAAATGTTTCGTAGCGCAGAATTAAAACCTGTCTAAGTTGCTGTCCATGGTGCTGAATCTGTTTTTAAGTAGATTTCTCTTTGATATGTATTACTGCAATGTATTCACTAAAATGCCAATCATCACTTTCATAAGTAGTGCCTTCATTTTTCTTTCTGCTTTCATTGGTCATTAACACGAAATGCACAGGGATAAAAACATAATATATATCAGTGTATATTATATATACCAGACATATATCAAAAGCGTGGCCCTACGCTGGACTGGCGGACTGTCCAGGGTGTCCCCCGCCTCTCGCCCATTGACCACTGGGATAGGCTCCAGTTCGACCCCGTTAGGGAATAAGCGGTAACGATAATGGATGGATGGATATCAATAGCATCAAATTAAGTATAAAACGCCTGAAAAAAACAGGTGGGTAATTCCAATCCAGTTTAATTGGAACTACTAAACCAGATATTAAATAAAATACACTGTTATTGGGAAGATATATTTTCTTGATACAACTGTCAGCATCTTTTGGGTGCTTCAAGTTTTCTTCAAAGACATAAGGACAACTTGTCACTCTAAATTTGTTTTAATTTATGTGAATGTGAAAAGCTCTATCTGCCCAGTGTGTGACTTAAATTTCTACCTAACTAAAAGTGAACCAGATACACTTCTGCTACCCTCAAGAAGGGTTTGTGGGGAGGCGAATTTTGGTTTTGCTACAGAGATAGATCCACATTAAAATGAAAACTGATTTATCATGATAAAAATTGTTCTAATTGGTTGTGACAAACTCTTCATCGTATGTGAATAAAGTTTCGATCGGACATTAAAGTCTCATTACAAAGCAGAATCACAGGCTCAGCCACCTGTTAATATTGAGGTCAATTTTGAAATGTCTCCTTTTAAAGCCCAGTGCATAAATTTGGTTAGACTCTTCTCAACTTTAAACCATATTAGGGTCATTTCACTTTTGCTCTGTATGTTTTTCCTCAGTGAGATGATTACAGCACTTTTAACTGAATTTTGTGTTTTCATTTGCTAATTTGTAATTATTTATTTTAATTGTCAAGTATGTCTTGATCTTTCTAGTCAAATGTCCTTCTCATGTCTCCCGTTATTAGATAAAACACAGGGATTTTATTATAAAGTAGGGCTACATCAACTATCACTTATGTATAAAATGTTGGCTTTTTAAGTTTTTTTTATAAATGGTGCTGCTGCACTCCCTGTGTTCTGCTCTGTACACTGTTCTGCTCCAGTGAAGAAACAGGGAGGTGTCTGGAAATCACTGCTGCTTCCCACTGCTCACCTCTCATCATTAACTACAGTCACAACATACACTATGCTTCACACACACACACACATAGTAGCATGTACACACTCACAGATTGTGTAAGCACTACACCCCTCTGCTCCCTACATGCGCAGACATTCACACGTATGCATACACTCAGGGGATGAAGCAGGGAAAGGGCAGTGGGATGTACAGCTGTGATGGTGTGTCTCAAAGAGAGATCAGACTCTTTAATAAATGATGATCCTGAGCAGAAAAATGTTTGTGCATTTGAGTGTGCGAGTGTGTGGGATAGATAGTGAAAGGTGGTGCACTGGTCATGTAGTGGTTGACATGAAAGTTAAGGTTTAGTACTTTCACCGAAACGGAATTGATATCTCACACTTCAAGAATTGTTTAATGATCTCAGTGTCTGTTGTTTGGTATCTGATGACAGCTGATCCAACTGACAGCTGCTAATAACACGCTTTGAGATAATACCTCAAGATTACAGTTCAGTAATCTGAAATAAATCTTCGGATTTGACACACAGTCTTCGGAAAAAAGTGAATGATCTTTACCTCAGGTTGTGATCAAATTGCAGGCACTAGAGCCTTGTGGGGGTTTCTCCCCTGTTGCATCAGGTACAGTAGGCACCCTTGATATTCACTCCTAATGAAAAGGTCGAACTCTCTCCATCAGGCCACTCAGCTTTTCCTTGCACACTGCTGTGGGGGCATCTGCCTCACACCTGGCATGAATGTCAAGGAAAAAAAAAAAAATCAATAGGGCTTGGCTCATAGTTATTTCACAAGATAACTATTGTTTGGATTTCGTGGTACGGCCTTTGCAGTCAGCGTTTTTTTTCTATTATGTTCTAATTTATGGCACAGTTATGATAGTTGAGAAATTCTTGAAGGTTTGTCCGGCATTGTTATGTATTTAAAAATTGTGAAGAAATAAGTTCATCTTGGGGAAAGAGGAAAGAGTACATAGTTAATACACAAAATTCTATTTCTCGAGGACAACTTGAAATTTTCTTTCCAGGATACACTGTCTCTTTTTTTATTGTTACATTCGACCATCTGCTTTAGTGCTGGCTTGGGAATCAATACCTTCTGTCACTTGTCTCCATATACTCCCCTTTGATAATTGCATAATAACTGTAGATTAGCAAAAAATCCAATTTAACTTACAAACATGTGCAGCAAGAGAACTTTTACAGCCCAGTCAGCAAAAACATAAATAAATATAACAAAATCTCTTTCTTTTCCATAGAACAACCGATATCTAAAATTCTACATTTCTAAGACACAAAGGTTTTACTTCTTTAGGAATGAATCCTGTGTGAGTAAAGTTCTAGATTTTCTATTGGGTACACCCAGTCTTTATCTGACTGTAAGCAAAACTATTTCAATGGCTTAATGTCTAAATCTAACCAAAGAGGTTAGTACAACAAAGCGAAAAAAGAAAATAATATATATTTTTTCAAAAGCAACTGGTGTCAGACAGGAAAATTACAGGCACAAAATCAGGACTCTTGGACAAAGACTTGGAGCACTGCCATCCCCACAAACACCAAATCTAGGACTGAAATCTGTATAAACAGGCATTTACTTCTGCATTATAAAAGATTTCGGTATTTTACTAAGCATTTTCAGGGGAAGCTCAGTATTAAAGCAAATGTGTCCATGGAGAAAATAAACCTATTTTGCAGTTTATTTTGTGCATGGACACATTTGCAAAGTAAGAAACACAATTAGTACTGTTTGAAGTAAAAACCTTTATTCCAATTGTACGTTTATCATCTAGCTCAAGGAAGAAAAAGTAATAAATGCTTTATGGGAGGAAACATTAACCAAATTAATTGACAACGCCCAACCACAATTTCAATTGTAAGTCTCTGCCTCTTGTTACATTTAGCATGGGAAGCAATACATGAAGAGAAGTATTATCCAGTTCATTAGGATCTTTGTGGATCATTTAAAGTGCAAGCCTAAGGACTTCTGATTAAGCATGTGATGCTAACAATCCTTCAGGTAAACAAGGCTTTCCTTGGATAATCTGGTCTGATGCCAGAAAATGAATGCTGGCTTTTATCCACATGACTCTCTGTACCAAAACACAGTGTAGAGCTTGCACAAGTATCATCATAACATGTGTACAGCGTGCTTCATTCCTTATAAGCTGACATAATGATTGAGGACTTCCTTAAAATTCAAAGCTGCATCCTCTACTGATTTATTTTGGCCCTATAATCTTATAAACTCTCACAAATCGAATTTACAACTTTTATACAATCTTAATTTTGCTGCCACAGTTATACACATATTTTTTATCAGTCATGTTTAGGTACGGCTTGGATTTATTGTGCTGTGAGGTGAGTAATGCCTCTATTGGTTATGAGAGAATATAATTCAGAGCTCAACCGGGAGAGTAAATCAGAAAGTTAGTACATTATTTGATTTGTGATCATTAATGAAGAATGACTGCAATAATTGGCTTTTACACATCACTACCTAAGCTGAATTAACCAAAACCAACCAACATCATCCAGCATTATTTCTGAAAGGCTTTTGTGCCCACTGAAGCCAATTTTCTTCAAACTGCTTTAGATGGACTGTAGTCAGCACTCAATGTTCAGTACACCTTGTTTATCAACCACAGTGACAGCAGACTGGTGGGTGTGTGAACATGAATTAAATAGGATACACAAGACATGTGCTATTGCAAGGTTGACTGATGCTCCATGATGTCTCCCAGGGTCATTACATGACAGTTAGGTTGATAGATGCCATCCACAGAGGGATAATTCTCCATCTGACAAGCTCACTGCCTTTTACAATGATGAAATGTGGTTCTGATGAATGCGTTCACACATTTCCCAGTTCTGGTCTGTTTTTAGGCTGAACAGCAATTTTTAATCATGTCGTGTCAAATGAGTTGCGGATGATCAAAACTTAGGGAATACACACTGAAGAGAAATAGAGGACAGAATTCCCCCCTGAAACAGATGCTAGGAAATAATGGTGCACTGCTTCGTCACGCCATCTTTACTTAACTGTACTCATTCACATATATGCCCAAATTATCCTCAGTTCGCAGGCTTGTGAACTTTGGAGACCTGCAACTTGAATCAGACAGTTTAATCTCAGAGTTCCTCTCCGTTAGTTGGGCATCAGGCAAGCGTGTCCTTAAAAACGCTTTCGTACGGCTGGGGATTGTTTCAGTAACACATGCCCTGATTGGTTCATTTCATATTTGTAGCGGGGCAGACTGTAGAAAAAATAGGGATGGATTTGCATACGTACATAAACTTGCCTATCATTACCACACTATTAATTTCGGTCTACTGGCATTTTATCTCATCTCTGACTTTCTCTTTCAACAAGTGGGGATTTGGTTTTGAAATTGTGTAAGTAGTGTAGTTCAAAGGCTCAAAAACCTGACAGCATCTACCAATTTTGGATTATTGAAAGAGAGTGGCTGAGATCAATAAATAGTGTGAAGCACAGCTATAGCCGCAAACTGTCTTTTCATGATTAGATTTTTTTATCAATCTGCAAGTGTTGTTTTTTTTAGTTTGTGTCGGTTGACATTTTGTTTAAGCTTAGCTTAGTTGTGTTCTTGAGGTATTTTTCTTTTATCATGATATCTACTTTTTGAACTATAGTTTATAGTTGCATGTATAGTTTGTCATCATTTTTACTTACATTTAGTCCATAGTGCTGGGCTTACTGCTCTAAACCTTGTGTGGTGCTCAAATATAAAAGCTTTTTGAGTGAAGAATCCCTTGGAGTACCCACTGCACATGAGAACCTAGTTTAGTCTCTGTGCTCCTGAGAAGCACTAGTGCTTGCATGAGTTAATCCATCATTATGTATATGATGTTTTTTCATAAATGCCCTTCTCACTTGTTTATCTTCTCTAATGTGTGGACGTTGAATTCATGCAAGTATTAATGATAAAGTCGTAAGCCACCCGCTATCCCCACCTGCTCGTGAAAGACTTAATCATTGATTTTGATTCAGAAATGCTGATGAAATTGTTTAAACTACATAAATCCAGTGCCTCTCGGACCTATGGGTTGCACCAAACGCCATTAGCCAACTTTCAGGATCAGTTTATCAGAACTCGACAAAAACTACTTCTTCATGCTTGCACATGAATGTTCTTTAGTTGTGTTTTGCAAAATCATTCTGTCCTATTTATGGATCATTAGTCTATCCTGGTTAAAAATTACCTTGTAAATAATTAATGGTAACATCCCATTGCACCCACTTGATTGTCAGGATTCTGAGAAACCACGTTTACATACATACACTATACTGACATTAACTTAATTAGTTTTATGGGAGTTAAAGTAAAAGAATGACACTTTTCACACATGAGAACACACGCTGAATATATGCAGTGTTTTTCAATTAATTGACCCCAAATGTAATAAAAAGTGATGAATTATGAATTATTGTCTGTATTTGAGATTATTCAAGTGATGAAAACAAAAACATAGAAGGATTTTAAAAAGACTTTGATGGATTAAACAACAGAAATCTAGAGTCTAAATTTAGTGGTGTGTAATAACAAAGCTTCTTATAACCCACCCACTCATTTCTCTCACTCTTAAGCACACATTTGCACAAACGGTGTCTTCTCATACTGTGAGATTCAGGTCATTGGTGCAGTGGTGAGCTCTGTGAGGGTCCCAAAAGACAGACAAGCAAGCACACGCTCACATGAACACAGTGGAAACAAAATAGACACACAGGGATGGGTTGTGAGGCTATCTCTCCTCTCAGTCTACTGCGGTCCATCGACCCTGCATGGCTGCTCTCAGCTGGATACGTGTCATCCACAGCAGCCCTGCCTGTTAGGGGGGAGTGTGAGCTGAGGCGGGAGTAAGGGAGGCGAAAAATAAATGGGGAAAAGGAGATCCAGCAAGCTTGGTTTGAAAGGAGGGAGGATGTCTTTCCAAAAACAAGTGAAAAAAAAACAAGAGACGAGCTCAGTGTGACCTACTCACCTACTTGGCAGGGTCAGGGGTGAAATGGGGTTTTCAGTCAGGTGTTACTTTACTTAAGAGCTACCAGTTAGGCCTCTCTCTACTGCCACTTTTTACTAATATGTGTCAATTCATTTCTCTAACAGGCATCTTTGGTGATGTTGTCATGTGGCAGTTGCCATCTTCTCTTTTCCTTCCTTTTTCAGGTGAGACATTTCATTATTCTATGTGTATTCAGGGTAGATTCATGCTTTGTAAAGGCTTATTTAACTGTGACCATATGATTTCTGAAGAAAACTTCCTGTTTCAGTTGATGGACACAGAGGAGACAACCAAGGATTTTGACTTATGTTTGATTAGATACAGCATTTCAGTACAGACAATGCACATGCTCTGCGTGACAATACAGTAACATTGTGCATGTTGTCTTATCAAGAGGCTCAAACAGAAAAGTAAAGAAAGTAGTAAAGGAAGGAACAAAAACATTTTCCGTTTCACAGTGTGTATCTTGTTTTCACAGTTGCTTTTCAGACAGGAAGCTGGTTTTGGGCACTTTCCAAGAAGCAAACATTTCATTTCAGTCGACACCATGGGTGCTGAGTAAAACCGCTCTGAGAGATCATTTGGCACATTTTAGGGATATTGACTTTCAATTGAGTTGCCAATTACAGTGAATCAATCTCAAAAGATGGCCTTGTAAAAAGCCTTTATTATGGTCTAGTCCCATAAATGTACGATTTTTATTCCAAAATTAACATAACAAGTGCACATTCCCAAAACAAACACATAGCTCTGTCTGCAGCCATGGTGCGTTGTTGGTCTCAATGGACTCTGTGCTAAATTCCTTTGTTCATGTCAGCAAATGGCCTCTAATAAGCAGTTTATTTGGATAATATATTTCTAAGAACTCCATATTTCCATGTGGAATTTTCATTCTTCTTTTTGTTCACTTTACTACATAAACACATACATCTTACAAGGATGACAGCTTTAATATTGTTTAAAGATCTTTAATTGACATCATCAGTGTCTGCTCCTAAAAAACAAGGCATCACATTAAATCAAAATTCCACATCAGGTATAGTTTTTGCTTAACTTTAAAAGGAAAAACATCTCATGCTACAATTGAAGCTAATGTTAAAAATCTGAACACATCATCTCATTTGTCATTTGTATGTATATATATATAAATGTTGTTATGTTTTGTTTTTGTGTATGTGTGCGGTTTAAATTATGTGCTGGCTTTCCGGTTTTCTAGCATAGCCTCTTATTATTTATCAAATGTAGGCATATCGTCCACTTGTTTCCTCAACACCCTTAGATCTCTGTTGGTTGAGAGAAAAAGGAAACCAAAACATAGAAATAGTCTGCTTTTAGGTCAACCCCTCAGAGAAGCACACGGTGTGTGTAGGTGTATACCTGTGTGTGTGTGTGTGTGTGCGTGTGTGTGGGTGGGTGTTTGTCTGGATGCGTGTGTGTGTCATATTACAGAGCAGAGTGGTATAGGTATGGCAGCTGCCACCAGAAAAATCTGAACTGTGTGCATCTAAGAGGAGCTTTCATCCTCCTACCTGCCCACCAAAGAGGGGAGACATACCCTTCCTCCTTGTGATACACAAATCACACACACACAAACACTGTACACAGGTATACACAAACAGGTGATCAGCCGGAAGCTCACAAGCTTGATCTATGCTTTAGATTGATTTTTGCAGTCACATGAACTCAGCTTTTGTCGTATGCACCTTGAACACAGAGGACGGGAAATTCAAAGAAATGTATCAGTAAAAGAAACTTTCCATTTTTTTAAAGCTCTACAAGATTAACTCTACCTATTGTTCGTGTATATGTGAAGTTGGAAAAAATAGCACAGGGAGAAAGACTTGATTGTATTGGTGATTTTAACAGTTTCCACCAAATAACAGAGGTACTGTACGTTGTTGTCTGGATAAGGATCTGGGTGATCAGAGCTTTAGAAATTAATTGGATGTTAGCATGGTGAGGTCTAGCCAAACATTTAATGTACTCATGCCATTTATTTGATGATCATTATGTTGTATTTCGCATTCTAATTTTTTCAAACAAGATGAAATACGGCCATTTTAGGGCACAACAAATGCCTGCACCAAATTTCCTTCCATTCCATTAACTCAAAGGTCGAACCATTCTGCTTAAAAAATGTCAGCAACACATTGACATCATTGTAAAAGAGATTAGCAGAGGTTTTCCACTTACCAATATAAACTTTGGTTATGCTTATTTTAACATTATTTTCTAATAATGAATTATTGTTGGCATTGGCAACAACAGTTGATCAATAAACTAATCGCTGGTTGCATTTTTGCTGTTTCCCAGGACCACTTAAATAGTCCTTGTCCACTGGCTGCAGCATGCCAAAATAAAATCAATCCAGCTCAGTGCCTAACAGTTGGACAGATGTTCTTTTCATATAATTAATTTAACTTTGCTCAGTGCAGCCAAAAGCTTCAAATTTTTACTTCAACAGTCCACTGGACTTGTTTTCAATTGCTTCAGGCCTGTTTAGATTAGAGTTGTTTATGTGCATCCCATCATACTTAGCTTATTGCATTTTGACTTTGATCATAAAAGAGGCCCAAAGTGACCCAGTCTTGATTGCCAATTATCTATAATCTGGACACACACTGTGTCTTTGCACCATGGTGTCAACTGATTCAGAATATTTCTGAAAGGACACTTCTCCTATTGACCTTTGACATATTGAAATCTGTTGCTTTTATGAATGCATACATGCCAACACCTCTAACTCCCAGTTTGTAATGCATTATTACCACTAAAGCATTCCAACTGCACGAGGGGAAAAAGGGCTGCAGAATACATTTCTAAACCCATTAATAATATCGTCCTTGTCAGATTTATTGTAAAGTCAGGGTTTAAAGTGCATCTGTAGGATTAAAATTACCACTTCATATCAGTTCATAATTTAGGCTGTCTCTGAGCATCTCAGAACAGGAGATGGAGAACGAAACAGCCAAAACACAGCTTTAATTGAGTCATAAGAGATCAGTAGCATCAGCTGTTGTTCACTTCATTGTTTTCAGATAGCGTCTTCATGGCAGAATAAATTCTTTCTTCACACTGTAATTATACAGGGGAGAGAGGGAGCAATAAATCTGATAACAGACACACATGCACACGCACACACATTCTTAGGGGTATACACTCATGGAGAGAAAAGTTGGAAGAGAGATTAGATTAAAGAAGTTTCTCTGATCTGTGGCATGAGAAGGCCATGCTCATGAATCAAACAGCCGTCTAAGCTGGCTTATCCTGATACAACCAGGATCCCGCACACACACACACATACATACGTACATACAACAAAAAGTTTACAGAGTGATGTAAGGGGGAAAGAGGTTGGAAAAAAAGAAGGACAGAGTCTCGAAACAATTCTATATCCCTTTTAGTCATGGCTGGGCTCTTGCTGTGAAGCAGAAACGACTCTGAGCCCTTGTTAAAAATGTCCCCAAACTACACTAAAGGTCTGCTTTTTTGCAGTCTTTATACTTTACAGTGCTAATACTTCTACAAAAGCATTTCATATTGTAGTCCCTGAACTTTAATACACCTCCAATGGCACTTTATCTAATCTCTGTCTTCTCTTCTCCCTTTAAGGAGCATTGATGTCCAGATGGTTCGCCCCTCCATGTGTGGTCCAGTTCAGCTCTCCCTGACTGTTTCATGGGCCATAGGCAGATCCAAGCATCCACGGCCACTGCTTGACTCAACCCTGCTGCGTTCTGTGCACCTCGCTCTTGGCCCCTCACCCCTAACCTTTACCCTCAGCCCCTCACCTACCCCCGTCTCACTCTCTGTTGAGCCTCTCCTCACGTTGTGACAATCCTAGCCCGCCTGAGCCCAACATGGTGTCCCATATCCCCGCTCTAGTCTTGGTTATGATGTGTCAGGGCGCCTTGCTGTCAGATCCATCTCAATCACGTCGAGAAATCCGCATCGAGGGTGACCTGGTACTTGGCGGCCTGTTCCCAGTGCATGAGAAGGGAGCTGGAATGGAGGAGTGTGGTCGTGTGAATGAGGATAGAGGAATCCAGAGGCTTGAAGCCATGCTCTTTGCCATTGACAGAATCAACATGGACAACACTCTGCTTCCAGGGATCTCCCTTGGGGTTCATATCCTTGACACCTGCTCCAGAGATACGTATGCATTGGAGCAAGTGAGTGAGCATAATGATTTTGCACGAACTGAATATTTCTTAACATGCGAGTTTAATTTGTTATTTAGTTTATTGTGCCTGCCATATAAACATCTGTCTGTATGGTATAATGTTAGATTGCTTTTATCATTTACATGTTGATCGCCAGCAGTAAAATAACATCATAATAAGAAGGTAGTGATTAAGATGTGATAGTTAAAATTACCTGTTATCAGCAAAGAGTATATCTGGAATCTGACAATTCTCTTATGTTGTTGTTGAAGTGCTTCTGTAGCTTTTGCTACGTTATTATATATTTAAAGTTTCCCAAATAAATTATCTGTGGTGCTGAGTAAAACTATGAGGTCTCATTAGCACCATTCAGGTGGCGTATTGCATTTTAAAATAGCATTTTATCAAAAAATGGTAGAGGATTTTACCTCTAAGGAGAGAAGAAAACCCTTGATCAGAAACATAAAGAGACTGAAGCCATCTTCATTGAGGGAAATGAGCCACAAAAAAAGCATAGCACTTTTCCCTCAGGGATCGTTCTTTTCAAAATAAAAAATTAATCTTATTACCGAGCTATTCAGGGGTGATGCATCTGGGGATCTTATCCACAAGCATTTGGACTGGTTAGATAAACCCTGCATTCTTGACATTTAGCTTCTCCAAATAATTATGATTCAATACTTGCTTTGTCCACGTTATTGAAATATACTCTATTATCTGCTTTGGTCTCAGAGGAGGTAATTTCCCATTTGAAATCTTTACTAAAAGCGTTCAGAGTCACCAGTGTATGACTTCATAACTTTGGGAGAAAAAGAAAAGTGTCATATAAGTCTGCTTTTATTTATGTGACATATATTTTCAAAGAGAGCAGAATTCAAATGTCGATAAAGAATTGATAGAATACATAGATCATATGGAACACAGCTTCCTGTGATATAAAATATCTATGTGGATGTGTCTCGAAGGCTTTGGAGTTTGTAAGAGCCTCCCTCACCAAGGTGGATGACACAGAGTTCATCTGTCCAGATGGATCTTACGCTCTACAGGATGACAGCCCACTTGCCATCGCAGCAGTCATTGGAGGATCCTATAGCAGCGTCTCCATACAGGTAAAAGACTGTTAAAATCCAAAATTATTATTCCTTATCATTATCTTTTCTTTTCCCTCATCCTTGCTAAAGTCTTGTGAGCAAGTTTGTAGAAGCTGATTTCATGTTTTAGTTTCCAAGATTCCATGTTTATATGACTGCATATGAGTGTGCATTCATATTTGGTTGAATCAAGTTCAGTCAGTGTGTTCTTGTGTTTTTTCTACAGCTCTTGTAGCTCTTGTCACAGAGCCGGTTAATTTGCATAGTTTAGCATAAAACCTCTTTCTCCCTTACTCCTCTGTGACTGCACAAAAGCCTCATGCTATCAGTCCTTAAATCCCTAATCTCTGCAACAGTCTCTCTGTCTTTTTCATCCTCTGGTCTCCTCTGTTTCTTCTGTCATATATTGCTTTCCCCTGCAATTTAAATCTGTTCTCTCTTTCATTTTTTCCCTTCCTCCTTCTCCATCTTTATATGCACCCAGAGTTACCCGAACACTCCCTATCCCACGCCCCACTATTGGGGAGCTCTTAGCCCTTTTCGTGCTTCCTTAGGCAGCCATTGTAAACACGTCTGCTCTGTCACTTGTCCTTCATCACACACACATGATTCTCCTCTGTCTTCTTTCTGCTCTGTCTTGTTGCCCTTTGCTGCCTCAGCTGTTGATTTCTTTAACCTGTCTTTTCTGAGGGTATCGCTGTTTATGAAACCTTAACTCTGCTCTGCTTTTTGATCTCTTGCCAGTGAAGCTAATCCAGCAACTCTTTCATCCCTCTCTACTTGGCCAGTCTGTCTGTTGCTTTTAAATTAAGTAAAAAGAAATTATTTTATGTTTAACCATGCACTCCAATGCCTTGGAGGCATTTACTTAACAGGCATCGTTCCTCCCTCACATCACTCGTGTGTACGTGCTCCTTTTTTATTCCCATGCGTGAGTGTGTTTTGAGCATGGTCCAGGTATTACTCATATTGTGGGTACCTAAATCTGTTTACACACTCACATCATGAAGATGTGATTTAACTACTGGGAGAATAAGCAATCTTCCAAATCATAAATCATATAGTTCTGAAGAAGATTTCATGTATCAAACTAAGAGAAGTGTCACGTTTAAGTTTGGATAGCCAAATACTGGTTAATGATGTATGTGTGTGTGTGCGTGTTTGTGCATGTGCGTATTTGTGTGTGTGTGACTTGCATTTTAAGCACAAAACTCAACACAGCCTACCACCCCACTGCACCATTTTCTCTTTTTCCATTTCATTTCTCTCACCTTCAGCCTTTCTTACTGTACAGGGCATTCCCTCCCCCTCTCAGTAAGGAAAAAGCTTTCACTTACAGAGTCAACTCCTTTTTTTCTCTCCAAGAGTCCCTGCAGACGACCCTCTCATTGTAGGAAGTCATGGTCATTGTTCAGTAGCAGGTCACACAGCACATTTTGCTTTGTGATCTTCCGTGACATTTAACTCATCTTCTGAATTAATACCATAAAACCAGGGCAACTACAAGCCGACATACATGTGACTGATTGTGTGTGTCTGTGTTTGTTTATGTCGCTGCAAATGCTTGTGACTAAGTCAAACTGTCATCTATTCATCTGTGTTATTAGCCTGTGAGATTCTGACATGTCAAAACAGCTCATCAACTGAGCTATGACTGAAATATACAAAAAATAGACTGATGCACTCTGGAGGGATTAAACTAAAGCAAGAACATGTCGGTGGTTTATTTGTGTATGTGCATGTTGGCTAGTGTATTTTACAAGTCTTTGTGAAGATGGGTGCATCTTACTGTTATATTTCCATTGTTTACGTAGGATCCATGATAGAAATTCTAAAAAAGGAACACAGCTAGTACAGTGTAATTGAATGCAATAATGTCAAACTGCATACCTTACCGTGATGTATTCAAGAAACACAGAGGGCAAGTTTGAATGATTTCACCCAATTCATGACTGATTTTGATGTTCCTTTTCAGGTTGCCAATCTTCTCAGGCTCTTTCAGATCCCTCAGATAAGTTACGCTTCAACGAGCGCCAAGCTCAGTGACAAGACACGCTACGATTATTTCGCCCGCACTGTACCACCTGACTTCTACCAAGCCAAAGCTATGGCTGAGATCCTCCGGTTCTTCAACTGGACGTACGTGTCCACAGTGGCATCAGAGGGGGATTATGGTGAAACTGGTATAGAGGCCTTTGAACAAGAGGCTCGCATGAGGAACATCTGCATTGCCACTTCGGAGAAGGTAAAGACCTGGGCAGAGTTTAGTAAAACATACATTTTCATAGTCTGTTTTGAAACACAAAATACGTGAATAAAGGACATTTTTAAAAAGGCAAATAAGACTACATTTCCCTGTTGAAATGATGCCATGATGCCTATAAAGTGTTGTCTTTATTGCTTTATTGTGATTTATACTGACGTTTTAATATTACAGTAGTGTTATCAATTATGAGGATGCAAATCAAAGATCTTTGAGAACTCGTTGTGGGTACACTAACAATTACATTTTTTATAAAATTTGTTACTAAGATGAATGATGGTGTGAGAATAAATCGCATTTACCTTTTTTTCCACAAGAAAACTTTAAATAGTTTACATAGGTTCGGAAGGGGCATTCATTTTTCTGATTTCATACATCCTCTTTTTCTCCAGGTTGGGCGTTCAAATGCTAAGAAGTCTTATGAATCTGTGATACGCCAGCTCCTTCAAAAGCCAAATGCCCGTGTGGCTGTACTTTTCCTGCGTAGTGATGATGCCAGAGAGCTGCTGGCAGCTGCTGCCAGGCTCAACGCCTCCTTCATATGGGTGGCCAGCGATGGCTGGGGTGCACAGGAAAGCATTGTCAAGGGAAATGAGGTCACCGCTGAAGGAGCTATTACACTCGAGCTGGCAGCCTACCCCATAGCGGAATTCAACCGCTACTTCTTAAGTCTAAACCCTGTCAAAAACCATCGGAATCCCTGGTACAAGGACTTCTGGGAGCAGCGGTTCCAGTGCTCCTTGGGAGCAGGTGGTTTGGCATTGGGGGAGACATCCCTCCCACCATGTGACACAAGCTTGTCACTGGACAAAAGTAACTTTGAACCAGAGTCCAAGATCATGTTTGTGGTGAATGCGGTGTTTGCCATGGCCCATGCCCTCCATAATATGCAACGGAGCCTGTGCTTCAACACCACCAAACTGTGTGACAGCATGAAGGCCTTGGATGGGCGCAGACTCTACAGGGATTACATCCTTAATGTCAGCTTCACAGGTAAGAGAGCCAGAGCATGGCCAAATGTAGAAGTTCTGTGCCTACTTTGTAATATCCAAACGGACACAGTACTGTTGTCCGTCTTCTAAACCTTAAAACAGAAAAAGTAGTGAAACAAATCCACTTAATTGCTATGTATTGTCAAAGCCAACTTGCCATTGACACCTATTACCCATGCGTAATTGATGTGACACTACAAAGTTGCTTTGAGGTACGAGAGCTGCAGTTAATCCGTCAGCCATATTCTCCTCTCTTACACTAATGAGATTGTGTGTGCTATAATAGCTCATATAGTAGGGTGCCTGTCTGTCTGTCAGTCTCTGAAGAGTTGGGAGAGAGGAGACTGAGGATTGGCTTGACTGACAGATCGTGTACAAAGGAAGCGTTAAAAATAAACTGCTGTGTCTCAGGGACTGACACAGGTTTAGAGGTGCTTATCCTCCACCAACCGTGACCAGGAGGGAACATCAAAACAGCCAAACAACATTAACACAGCAGCTTTGCCATGGGACGCTGGGGAGAGAGAGCAAAAGGGATGGCTGGAGGACGACAGGATTGCATCATTTATTGAGTGAGAGTGGAGGGAGCTCACAGAGAAGACTGTCAGGGTGATTAAACTAAGAAGAGAGAGTTTGGAATAAGGTGAGAGGGAGTAAAACAGAAAAAGTGATTTGGAGGGAAGCAGGGAAAGAGCTAGTGAGCACTCAGGCAATTCCAGAGTGGGACAGTATGCGTCAGCAGAAGAAGAAAATTCTCTTTGAAATTTCCCATCTTCATTTACGCAATGAACCAAAGGACCTGACAATTCTGTGTGTTCAGTCTGCATTTCCATAGATAGATAGATAGATAGATAGATAGATAGATAGATAGATAGATA